TATCCATAGGTCACCAGAACTCCCTAGTAAAGAATGCCTAAGTAGTATCAAACTCCAAAAATTCTAGATAAAACAAAGTTTAAAATTTATACAGAAAACGTTCTAAACTATTAAACGGAAAATAAAGGGTAAACACACATGAAAGGAAAAAAATTCTATCTAAAAGGTCAGATAAATTTAGGAAAGAAAACAGAACTTAGAGAAAGAAAAAAAGTAATTAGAAGAAAAACCAGGAGCTCTGGTGGCTTCGGTGGTAAGGAATTACGCTGTCAACCTAAAGGTATGTGGTTCAAATCTACCAGCTGCTCTGTGGGAGACAGATGGGCAAGCTCCTCCTGTATGAAATACTACCTCTGAAAATCTGCTGGAGGGTCAGCTATGGGTCGGTTTCAACTTGATGGTAGACAACAACAAAAAGAAAGAAACCAGAACAAAGCCTTAAACCAAAATCCACCTCAGTGGATAGATCAGATGAGATTCTGGAGAGGAGGGAAATCTATGAGAGGGATAAAATTGTTAAATGAATTATCTAGAAAAACGTGAGTGCTTAACACAATGTATTAGAATTTTCCAGAATTGTCATATTCAGAACACACTGTAAACCCAAGGAAAAGACATAAAATCACACCACAATATACATCAGTTTGAGGATCTCTCAAAAGGAACAGGAAAGACAGACTACTATCTATAAACTAACAGTGTTTTCAACAGTGGTAGAAGTGGAGTAAGTTCCACAATGTGCAAAACAAATGTCAATCCCGTTTTTATTATGGTGACAACAACATAATCACCAGCATATCTTTCATAGTTACAACTCAATGGCACTGACTACATGTTTCATGTTGTGTCACTATCATCATTCGTTTCCTTAATAATCTATCATCATCGGGCTTCATAAATCTAATTTAATCTCCACCAAATAAAAACTTTCTCTTTTACCCTTTATCCACTCTAGTAACCAATCATCTTTGGTTTCTGTAAATTTGTTTATAAGAAGAAATTCAAGAGATTTCAAAGGCAGCTAAAGGATTATTAAAAAAAGAGATGACTTATGATTGCAAATAGATGAAATTATAGGAAACCAAACCTAATCTTCAGTGGGGGAAAAAATATTAGACCAAAACCGTCAAAGCAAAAAAAAAAAGTCAAAATCATTGTTATGGAGTTGGAGCCAATTCTCAGCTGGCTTTCCAGAGGTTGTAAATTGTATAAGAGGAGACTGGCCATATTTCTCTGCAGAGCAGCTGGTGGATTTGAACCACTTGCCTTTAAGCTGGCAGTGCAATTCCTTATCAACTAAAAATGAGAAAATAAAAAAAATTCAAAAAAATACTTTTCATAAAACCCTTACAAAAAACTTCAGAAAGATGTACTTCAGAAAGATATATTTCAGGATGTGCCTCCATGTTTGAACTAACTCTTCTGAGTTGACTCTTCTGCACATTTTTGGAGCCTGTATATCGCACAGTAGATTCAAACCACCAGAGAGGAACTACTTTTAGGTTAGGAGCTCAAGTCTTTACCCACTACATAACCGTATCTCCTCAGAAAGAAAAATTATCCTAAAAGGAACGTCTAAGAATTGAAAAAAAAAAATATATAAGTACTTATGTGAGCAGATGCTATCTATTTTATTGAGGAGAAAACTGAGGTGCAGATACAGAGATCAAAGTCATACATCTAGTAACAGCACAGCAAGAACTTGAAATCACTAATTTTGCTTCTATAGAAAAGCAAATTAACTGATTTTAAGAAAAGGACACCAGAGACATATTTTTCCCTTAATTTACACACAATATAATAAATAATGCTCTTAACAACCTGAATGTATGCTCAGCAAAAATATTCAAAGATCAAGGTCCTCAAGATGCTCAAGGTCAATCATTTATTTCTATAAAGAACAAAACACTATGGAGCTTTTGTTACCTAATGCATTCATCTAAAATATATACACCAAATATTGTACACATGAGCATTTTGGGGGTCAAAAGGACCATACATTTTAACAAACTCTGAAAAAGGGTCATATCCAAAGTACAACTATGTGGAATTAGCTTTAAAATCTTTGAAAGTTTTATAATTGTTTATATTTCAATGTTATTTTTCTTCCTGAAAATATGCTATGTTATGACAGTATAACCATCTTTTTGCTTATTGGCTGCATGGAAGTGTACTTATGGTAGGTAGGAAGTTAAGCATTACTTAACTTATTAAGCATTCTTTAACCATAGTTATGTGCAAGGCATGGCTGTTTCTAGCTTTCATCTATCAAAAAGATGATGCTGTAATAATCACTGATGACTTCTGGCTTCCAAAATATATGATATTCCTAAAAAGTCACCATATTTGTACCAAGCAGAAGAGATAATATTTAAGCCCAGATTTCGAACACCTTAAATATCTTTAAAATAAATATATATATATGTATATGGAACACTTCACGTATTTACATGTCATCCTTGTGCAGGGGCCATGCTAATCTTCTCTTTATCATTCCAGTTATAGTGTACGTGCTGTTGAAGTAACCTCTTAGTGAAAAACCAAATCAAACTCACTGCCATGGAGGAATTCTAACTCTTCATGACCTTCTATTCTTCACGACTTTCTATCAAGTCTCCGGGGTTATAAATCTTTGTGAGAGAAGACTGCCTCATCTTTCTCCTGTGAGGTGAACAGTGGATGCAATGGCCAGCCTTTTCCACACTATACACCAGGGCTTTACAATGCACTGAAAACTGTTAGGTCATCAAGTCAGAAATGACTCACAGCTGACCAGTGAGTTTTAAGAGACTGTATATTGCATAGGAGGAGAAAACCCATCTTTTTCTCTGACTCTGAGAAGAAGGGGAATCCCAGAACATTTGATTGTGCTAATGCGAAACCTATACTTGGACCAAGAGGCAGTCGTCAGAACAGAGCAGGGAGACAGTGGATGGTTCAAAATTAAGAAGGGGGTCTGTCAAGGATGTGTTCTGTCCCCATACCTTTTCAATCTGTATGCAGAACAGATCATCCGAGATGCTGGGCTGTATGAAGAGGAATGTGGCATCAGGATTGCCGGAAGAATCATCAACAACCTGCGATATGCAGATGACACAACCCTGCTTGGTGAAACTGAGGACCTGAAGCGCTTGCTGCAGGAAGTCAAGGATTGCAGCCTCCAATATGGATTGAAGCTCAACATCAAGAAAACAAAGATTCTCACCATTGGGCCAATTGGCAGCATCAGTATGGATGGTGAAGAGATTGAGATAGTTAACAGTTTTAGTTTACTTGGTTCCACAGTCAACACTCTTGGTAACAGCAACCAGGAAATCAGGAGACAGATTGCACTGGGAAAGTAAGCTGTACTAGACCTCTCAAGATTACTGAAGAGCAACGACGTCAAGCTGGAGACTAAGGTGCACCTGATCCAGGCTATAGTCCTCGCAATTATGTGCTATACATCGGAGAGATGGACAATGAATAGGGATGACAGAAAGAGAATTGATGCCTTTGAGCTGTGGTGCTGGAGAAGAGTGTTGAATATACCATGGACTGCTAGGAGAACAAACAGGTTTGTACTAGAGAGGGTGAAGCCAGAATGCTCCTTGGAGTCAAGGATTCTTAAGCTTTGTCTGACATACTTTGGGTATGTTGCATGGAGGGACTGGTCCTTAGAGAGGGACATCATATTTGGGAGAGTGGAGGGATGGCGCAGGAGAGGAAGACCCTCGATGAGATGGATCAATTCTGTGAGTGGAGTGGTGGGAATGAGTGTGTTTTGAGATGGCGAGGTTGGCACAGGATAGAGCGGCTTTTAGGGCTCTTATACATAGGGTTGCTATGAGTTGCAAGCGACTTGAAGGCACATAACAACCACTACCACCACCACCTTCAGACCAACAGCACCATTTCCTAACCACTAAGCTATCAAAGATCCCTGCATTGAAATTAGTCTCCAAAAACAGAGTACTGGGGGCACGGGATTCCTTCGTTTTTAAAGATTTTATTTGCCTCCTTTTAGCAAATAATCTGAAATCCGTATTCATTTTCACAGAAACGGATGACAAAACATAAGCATCTTTAATAATGTTCTTCAAAAGTCATCAAAGCCTTCTTTATATTTTGCCTGGTTGTTAAGTGCTGTCAAGTCGTAGGTGATTCAAAGTGACCCGATGAACAAAAGACCTGAATGCCTGTATAACCTTCATCCTTTCTCCAGGTTCATAGGGTTTCTGGAGGCAAGCTATTTAGGATGTGGATGCCACTCCTACTTCCAAGCTTGTTTTAATAGGGAAGCTCCACCAAACACTGTCCACCATGAGTAACCATTACCACATTCGACATCAGTGTCACAGTGTTCAGCTTCATGGCAACTACGAGTTACCTCTATACAGCAAGTGGACAGACAAGAGATATATGACCTAGAAGAATGTTTCACCAAAAACAATTAAAAACAGGCCTGAGGGCTGTAGATTAAAGTCATCCACCTTTGGTTCAGTAGCATCACTTTCTGTCCACTAGGCCAACTGATCTCCTTCTATGTTGTTGTTAAGTGCTGTCGAGTCGTAGGCGACTCATAGCAACCCTATGAATGAAAGACCTGAATGCTTGTATAACTTTCATCTTTTTTCCAGGTTCATTGGGTTTCCGGAAACAAGCTATTTCGGAAGTGGATGTCACTCCTGCTTCCAACTTTGTTTGAATTGGGGAGCTCCACCAAACACTGTCCACCATAATCTTTCTAGTGGCTCAGTAGTAAGGAGTTGTGCTATCTAACCAAAGGCATGACTTCCAAATCCACATGCTGCTTCACAGGAGAAAGACGGGCCATCTCCTATCATGTACCTTACAGCTCTGAAAACCAGCTGGAGGGTTGGCTGAGTTGATTACAATGTAATTTCCCAAGAGTTCAGACTCAAGAATACATTTTAGGTAGAGATGTTCAGATAAACTTAAAATTCGTTTCTGATCAAATGAGCACTCTTGATACGCAAATCTGAAAGTCAGAAACTTACTTCTTATCAAAGAATGTTGAATTCTCTTTTCTCTTGGTGAATCCATTAGGTAGGAGTTTTAAGTTAATACCTTGTTTCCGGGCACGGTTTTTCAGATAGTTCATCTAATAACAAAAAACAGACAAACTAAGTTTAAGAATACCTTAATTTTTTTAAAAATGAGTAAAACAAGGTTCAATAAAATATCTAAGGTTGCTGAGTGATTGACAAATATAAAAACCAGTGAGTGGCATTATCTCAGTTAATATTCACAATACTGTGAGAAAGGGACTATTGTCACTCTTGTTGTAGCATGAGAATAAAGGATAACATAGTTAAATCTAAGACATAGAAATTATATTAAAACTGAAATCTGTCTAATTTCAGTCTCTGCTTTTAACATACACTCTAAATATCAAAAGGTTTTCACAGTAATTTTTTTAAACAAGTCATTTGGTAACAATAAGAACTACTAAATATTTCTTTTTTGGTTTTATATCAAGTTGTTGTGTGTTACAAAGTTGATTTCTACTTACAGTTACCATGGATTATTGAAAAACTGCCTCACAGGATTTTCCAAGCTAAAATTTTTATAAGAGCAGTTTGTCAAGTGTTTTAACCACAGAGCTATTTGGTGGGTTTGAAATGCCATCAGTTACCAGCTGAACATTTAACTCTTGTCACCAGAGACATAATCACTCAATAGATGGCTCATTCAGAGAGGAACATGGGAGGGTAATATCTAGTGCAAGGCCTAACTCAAAAGTAATTAACTTTATGAGGAACAAAATAATAAAATAAAATCGTATTCTATGACATATGTCACACACTGATTAGAAAGTAGTAAAGGAAGTAGAATTAGGTTTCAGTTAAATTAGCAAAGAAGGATCACTGAAGGTAAAGGCAAAATATAAAGACAATTTTTGGTTAGGTGAACGTCATAAAGGATTTGCAGCAAAAACAATAAAGCATTTGTTGTTACATTGAGTCAAGTTGGAACTGGCCCACAGCTAACCTCCAGTGTGTTTTCAGAGGCTGAAAACTGCATGGGAGAAGACTGCCCATCTTTCTCTCTTGGACCAACCACATGCCTTTGAGCTGGCAGAGCAATTCCTTACCCACTAGGCCACCAGAGCGCCCTAATAAAGCCATTAAACCAAAACAAATAAAGAGTTTTTCACTGGGATTAACTAGAAAAATAATTTCCAAAAGTGTATGTAATTTTGTAACTATTATATACAATTTATAGGACTTTAGTTTCTATAACAATTTAAAAAAAAATACAAAAACTCACTGCCATTGACAACAGACCAATAATGGATATGTATTAAAAAAGATATATGTCACATTAAAAGCATCAAAAAGCTGACATAATATCCAGAAACAGGAGGCAAATACTGAGAAAACTGAAACATGAGAGACTTTAAAAACAAGTCGCACTATAGCAAATTCTTAAATAATGTAATTTACTGAAATTGATTCAAGAAGAGATATAAACTCTTATCTGTCCTCTGATTATTAAAAAAAAATACTTTAGTAGTCTTTTAAACTCCAAGCCTATATGGGCTTACTAGCAAATTCTGCTACTTCTCAAGAAGAAATCATTCCAGTAGTAGTCCGTGCTTCCATGAATAACATAGGACAATCCCCAACTAATTTTATGAGATCAGCTGATACAGGACAAAAAGGGAAAATTAGATGTCAATGTTTCTTATGAACAAATAAAAAAAATAAGAAATAAATAAATATGTATATACTCAAGTTAATCAACAGAACTCTTCAATGTATAAAAAGTATGGCACAAATGATCATAATAGTATAAGTGAAAAAAAAATAATTTCATGCAATTCACCATGTTGTTGTTGTTGCCACCGAGTCAAGTATAACTCTCAGCAACCCTATGAACAAAAAATCTGAACCATGTTCTATCCTGCACCATCCTTACACTTCTTGACAAACTAAAAATAAAATGACAAACTGACAAATTAATTCCGGTTCATGATAAAATCTATTAACAAATTAGGATTAAAAGAAACTGCTGGCACTGAACTGATTCTGACTCACAACAAAACAGCTTCCCAGTGCCCAAATTTAAATGAGTATTTAGCATAAGCAATAGGACTTATGCTTTTTACCTACTTTCCTTTTGATAAGAGTAAAATACTATTACATCCTAGGAAGCACTGATGGCTTAGCGGCTACCAAGCCACAAAGACACCAGCTGCTCTGTGGTAGAAAGATGGACAATCTCTTCCTGTGCAATTTACAGCCTCTGAAAACCCACTGGAAGGTCAGCTATTAGTTACTTCTGACTCTATGGTACACAACAGGCAGAAGGTTCCTATAATCCCCAGTAAAAATTTTGGGTTCCTGGAGCAATGGAAATGAATAAGCTTCCTTGACAGAACTTTGTCTGTATTTGCACAACTCACTGGTGAAGGAATGGAGTATCACTTTCTTGGGAGAGGACACTGGGGAAGTATGCACATGATCCTATGTATGCACCTTTACCAATTCTGCTATGTGGACTTTCACAGAAAAAAGGAATTCAAATGGTCAATAAAATATTTGAAAGGCACTTAATTTCATCAGAATTCTTGGAACTAAAACTCTTATTAAAAAGCAAAACAAACCAAATCCTCAAAAAACCCAAACCTTAAGCTCTGGTACTCGACTCTCTAGGTAGTTAGGATGCTAACTCACAATGTGGTGCATCATCCATCGCTCTAGGTTTGAATCCACCACATGCTCCCTCAGGAAAAAAAAAAGGCAATCTCCTCCCATTGATAGGATTCACAGATTTACAACTTAAAAACCATCATAACACTATATAGTTATTAGATTGACAGAAAGTTTACAACTCGGATGGAATCAAGTATTGGAGAAAATGTGACAAAAGAAACAAAGACTAGTAATGGGAGTGGAAAATAATACAGTCACTTTTGAAAATATTATGAAAAATAACCTGAAAATGTGCTTACCTCTTCAATAAAGCAATTCTATAATATAGGCAGTCTCTAATTACAAATAACATCCATTCCTAGTCTTCTTTTTTAATCTTATCTTTAAATCAACTAAGTAGGTAAGTAGGAAAAGATGTATTTGCTTATTTAATCTTCCTTCCAGTGCAAGAAACTGGTAGTGTAGCATGTTAAGTGTTGTGCTGCTAACCAAACTGTCAGCAGTTCAAATCCACCATCGGCTCCATAAAAGATGGGCAATCTCCTCCCAGAGATATTTACAACCACAGAAACTCAAGAGGGTGGCTATAGCTCAGAATCTTCAACAGTAGTAGCTTTGGATTTTGGTTTTTAGGAAAAGAAGGGAGCTACAGAAGTGTCAACAAATTCACTTTTTCCAAGGAAAAAAGATGAGGCATTCGGCTTTCATCAAAGTTTCTTCTCTTAGGAATCCTAAGGGGCAGTTCTAAAAAGTACTATAAAATTGCTGTGGGTCTAAATCAATTCAACAACAGTGGGTTTGGTGGGGGCTTTTTTAAGTACAAGAAAATATCAAAGTCTTTTCAATGAATAAAACCGTACAAAATGAAAGTGATTTAAAATGTTTTAAGTAGTGGTTAGTTAAATCATTTTCAAGTGAAGGCAAATTTACATGACATTAAAGGGCAACCCAGGAATGTCTACACAACTGGCTCTTTCACCCCCTTCTTCTTTATTCCTTTCTTTGTTACTACTGGAAAATCCAAAAACCCGAAAGAACAGAGGATTTGTGTAGTATTGTGATATGGAAAAAAACTACTAAGCAATTCTTCATTTCTTAATATTTGAACAGAACTTAAAAAAAAACATTGATTAGTTGTGAACAGTCTCCCTGTGTCTAATCTTCCACTCTTGACCCTAAAATCCATTTTCTACACAAAAGAGAGATTTTTTTTTTTAAAAAAGCAGATGTCCTCCAAATCAACTTTCCACATTCACTTATTCTCACATCTTACCTGTTTCTGTAGGTCCATGTTTCACATTCTCCTCATTCACTAGACCTTAAAGCTTTATTTAAACATGCCATGTTTGTTCCTTATTAAGGGACATTATTTTTGCTTGTCTCTACCTAGAATCTAAAAAAAATTCCACTGCCATCAAGCCAATGCCAACTCACAATCACCCTTCAATAGGTTTCCAAGGCTGGAAATCGTTAGAGGAGGCAACTGCCTATATTTGTTCCATGGAGAGGCAAGAGGATTTGACCTGCTGACCTTTTAGTTAGCAGTGCAGGCAGTTCTCCTTAAAATGTTTGTTTGGATGATTTTCTCTTTTCTTTTTCCTGTTTAAATGCTCTTTCTTTAAGAAGTTTCTCCTATCAAAGTGGTACCATGGAACAGCTCTCCTCCCTCAACATACATCATTTTCATTCTCTTTTCACCAAAGACTTCTTTATTTTATGTATGCATTTTAAAATTCTGTCTAAATTTGCTCCTCTACTCATCTCTTCTTATCTCTTCAATTATAGTAAGATCATCATGAAGGGAAGGAGTGTATTTTGTTTACTGGTTTGTCCTAAATAGAATAGCACTGGATTATGGTAGCCACTTAATTTGGTGAATAAAGAATAAACCAAATAGAATTAATTATAACTGACAGGAATTAGCAAAAATACTTACATGTTTATTTCCTACTGGTCTTTTCAAAAAAGTGTCTCTAGAAATATAGTCTGCTGTTCTTGCCACATCTTCTAAAAATCGGTAATCTGAAAGTTGCCAAATAGAAATATAAATGACTGAGCTAAGCCAGGGGGCAGGAAACATCAACTTGCTATGTATAAAGGGCTTACCACTTAGAAGATTCATTTCAGTAAATTGTTGTATTGAAACAAATGCAGTTTTATCTCGAACTCCATTACATGTCAGTTCTGTTTTATGTTTCTTCACACAGGGCAAACTGAAGAGACAAAGAGGAAGCACTTTTACATCATGTGCTGAGAAAGGTCCACAGAAGTAAAAAAAAAAAAAAAATAGGAAGTTACATATATACCTGCAGGAATATCGCATACAACGTGGACATCTATACTTTGCTTCTTCTGTACCACAAGTTTCACACCTACAAAAGACCACATGCATTTCAGAATTTACCAAACATTAATTCTAATTATTTGCTTAAAAACTTTGCATGATGAATATTACCAAATATTAATTCTAATTATTTACTTAAAAACTTTGCATGATGAATCAATTACCTGTCACATTCAATTTATACACATGTAGTCACAATGAATAAAGTCTATACAAAGATAAATCTGGCAAAACACGCAGGACCTGTGAAACATTGTGCGAAAACAATTTCCAGAGACAAGTACACATTTATCATGCTGTTAATATATAATTTAAGGTAATACCTATTGGGTTGTTTTAAATCTTTTTTTTTTTTTTCATTTCTTCCACTATATACAGAGAAGGAAACTACTGGTATTTTAACTTTTTGAGCTTCTGTGTTCTACACAGTAATATTCTGAAGTATTTAATCACTTTAGTTCCCTATTTTGTCACATAATCTCAAATCACAAGGAAATAAAGACTAAATCGAAAGTATTATTTACAGTATTCACACAGAAAGAAGACTGCTGAGTTCATAGCCATTTTTGCCAAATATTTAACTTAATCATATTTAGAACTGTTGATTTTATTAGATCTTTACTCATCTCAACTTTCTGAAATACCAAGCTAAGCACATATTAAGAAGTAAGAGTATGTTTCACATATCGTCCAGTTCCCAGACTATCATTTCCTACTCTGATCATTAATCATGGACCTTTCTATCAACCTCACTTGTTCTACAGATCTTGTCATCTAACATCATTCATCATGGCTCTGTTCTATTTCTGTAATTCTTGCTCCAGGATCCCAAACTTTCACCTTTTTCATAATTTCATTCATTCACTATAGAAGACAGATAATTTCACAGCTTTAGTTTCCTAATTAGGTTTCTAACGTACCTTGACATGGCCAGCTTCCGCTTGCAGCTCACTGGGGCACTGACCTCAGGCTCTTCTTTCACCCCTGCATCATCCATCACTTCTTTTTTCAGGATATCATTCTCTTCTTTTATACTGACTCCATTCATGCTTTCCTCTTGTTTTATGTTCTGGTCAGCCAATGTCTCTTCTTGTTTTATCTCTAGTTTTACTTTCTCTTCCTTCACTTCGAGCCAGTCCATAACCTCGACCGTCACCTTTATTTTCTCTTCCTTTACCTCCGGTTCATCCATCAGTTCTAGTTTCATCACATTAACATCCATCTCCTGTTTCAACCCCAAAACGCCAGTTTTTTCATCTTTCACCTCCGGTCCATCCTCCAACTCTTGCTTCATCCCCTGTGCATCCAACTTACATTCTTCTGTTTCTGACCAGTCTGCAACTTCTTGCTTTACAACCTTTAGATCCACTTTCATGTCCTCTGCCCCGTACCCATTTGCTTCTCCTCCAACCTTTTTTTCCTCTTTTCCGGTCAGTCCATTCCCTCCACCCCAGTTCTCCGCCATCCCGGCTAAGATTCTGGCTCCTCCACTTAGAGGCGCCCCCTCAGCACCACTCTCCCTCCCAACGTCCCTTAGTTTTCAAAAGCAAACTCTAGCAACTCACGGCCCCTGATTACGGCTGCCACTCCGTCCAGAATACGGCTGCTTCAACGTTAGGAATGAATTACTTTAACAAGATTGAGGACGACCCACGTATAGATCCAGAACATACACACTATACACGAGCACCGAATTTACCGCAAAGCAACACTCCCGAACCACGCCCTTTCACGACTCATAGAGCCCTTTACGACTTGGAGGAAGTCCCGCCCGGCTTCTCTGAACCAGTGTGGGCCACGCCCACTCTGACTTCCGCCTACCTGGGCGGGCGGGGGCGGGGCGCAGCCTCGTGCTATACTTGAGGTTGTCGGAGTCTAGACCTTTACAGACCACCGCACCACATCTGGTTTTACGTGACTGAGGGAAAGAGGGAAGGGCAAAGAGAAAACAGTGAAGCCTTCAGTCCTCAAACAGGACATCTTATTGCAATCTGCAGTAACGATTAAGTGTAATCTGAAAAAATGGAAGATTCACCTGCTGTTACTTTTCTTAAAGCTTCACTTACACACTGTTGATTTTAGCTGTCATGTCATTTTAGTCACCTCACTCAGGGCGACATCATAGCTAAGTGACTCATTCACAACAAAAGGCGAACATCATCCCCATGATGATTTATAAACTACAGTAATGATGGTACGAATCTCCAGCCGCAAAGCGGGAAATAGGAGGCGACTCTTCCATGAAAGGATATTCCAGAGGCCTCTGGGCACAGGGAAAAGATTTCTACTGAAATGCTGGATGTGGTCCAGAGATCCCATAAGAGAGAAACTTGTTCCAAGAATTAGAAAGTAAGAAAAACCTCTCCCCATACCTACTTAATCTATATGCTAAGAAGGTAATTTCAGAAGCTGAACTTTATGAATAATGTACCATCAGATTTGGATAAAGTTGTTAGTTGCCATTGATTCAAGTACAACTCATCCTGAAACAACAGATCTGAATTTTGTCTTATCGTGGCCATCCTCATCATCTCTGACACATTGAGCCCATTGCTACAGTCACTGTATCAATCCATCTTGTTGTGACCCATAGCAGCTCTGAACCCTATTCTGTCCTGAACCAGTCTCACTGACTCTGACACACCAACCCCCACTGCCCCAGTTACTATATCAATCCATCTCATCCCAGTCTTTCTCTCTTGTGCTGTCCCCCCAGCCTTCCAAGCATGATGTCCTTCTCCAAGGACCAGTCTCTCCTGGTCATGTGCCCAAAGTATGTGAGACAGAGTGTAAAAATCCCAGTCTCCACAGAGATACTTGGTTTCACCCTCTCTAAGAAGAACTATTTATTTCCTTGGCAGTCCATGGTATGTTCAAGACCCTTCTCCAGCACAATTCAAAGCCATTGATTCTTCTTCTGTCATCCTTTGTCATTGTCCAGCTCTCTGACGCATAGCAAGTAATTGCAAAGACCATGGCCTGGATTAGGTGCATCTTAGTCTCCAGACTGACATCATAGCTTTTCAGTACTCTGGAGAGGTCCCTGCCAGCAAATTTTCCCAATACAATTTGTCTTTTGATTTCTTAACTTTTGGTACTAAGTGTCGATTGTGGAGCCAAGTAAACTGTAACTGTTAACAGCCCCTATCTCCATCTATCTATCTATCTATCTATCTATCTATCTATCTATCTATCTATCTATCTATCTATCTACCATGTTGCTGCCAATTGGCCCAGTGGTGAAAATCTTTGTTGTCTTGATGTTAAGCTTCAATCCATAATAAAGACTACAGTCCTTGACCTTCTGCAGCAAGTGCTTCAGGTCCTCTTCAATTTCAGCAAGCAAGGCTGTGTCATCTGCATAACTTAGGTTGTTGATGACTTTTCCTCAAATCCTGATGACACATTCCTCCTCATAAAGCCCTGCTTCCTGAATGACCTGTTCTGCATATAGATTGAAACGGTCTGGAGACAGGATGTATCCCTCCCTGTAACACTCCTTTCCTGATTCTGAACCATGCAGTGTTTCCCTGCTCTGTTAGGTTTCTCATAAGCACTATCAAGTGTTCTGGGATTCCCATTTTCCTCAAAGTTAACCACAATTGGTTGTGATCCACACAATCAAATCCCTTTGCATAGTCAATGGAACATAGACATTCCTCTGATACTCTTTGCTTTCTGCCAAGATCCATCTAACATTGGCAATATAACATCAACAATATGTGTTATGCAGATGACATATTCTTACTTGCTGAAAATGAAGAGGACATAGAAGACTTGCTGCAGACAATTACGACTAAACCCTTTAATATGGATTACATTTCAATATCAGAAAAATAAAAATATTTAACACTAGGCCAAAGGCAATGTCATGATAGATGGAGATAAGATTGAAATTTTCAATGATTTTATCTTACTTGAATTGACAATCAACACCATGGGTACCAGCAGTAAAGACATCTTCCATTTCCTCCTCTTTGGCTCTGGTTATTGGTGCATATATTTGAATGATAGTGGTATTAACAGTTCTTTCTTGTATGCATATGGATATTATTCTACTGCTCACAGCATTGTATTTCAAAATGGATCAAGAAATGATATTTGTAATTATAGCCATATTTCAAGTTGTCTAGGACAGCTTTGAAGTGCTAAGAGCAAAAATTTCTCTCTAAAGACTGTCATGAATTGAATTTTGTCTTCCCAAGATGCATGCCTTTAATATAGATGCTATATAATGATCCTGTCTATAATTTGGAAGTTATATAATGATCCTGCATGATCTGATAAACCAATAGCCAAATTGTGGGTGGAATACAACACTTCTAATCCAATCCCAAACTTAATCATAAATATGTAGAGTTCTAATACCAAATCTAATTGGAAGTAAGTGAAGTTTCAATAGGGTGTGGCTGGTAAGTGAGTACAGATGGGAGGATCCTTAATACCACCAAAAATAATCACAAGATTATTGTTGTTATGTACTAGAAAACATTTTTTAAATTTTTTAAAAGTTGTTTTTATTTTAATAATTTTGATGAACAGTTACAGAGATTTTGGATTTCCATTCATTCATTGCTGCAATTCTCTCCCACCCATCCCCCCGCCCCAGTTCGCTCCTCTCTTTGAAAAGTAAAACTCCCTCCCTGGTACACAATCCCCCCTCACCCCTCCCACCACCCTATGTGCATTCCACTATGCAACCTTAATTGTGGACTCTTAGATAACCATAATACCCTATCATACATCGCTTTTAAATTATTCACTCCGTCATCTGTTTCAGTGCAGTATACACAATTTATCCAGTTTTTCTCAGTCTTACCCCCACCCTGATTTCAGTCCCATTTTGCAGCAGTGATATCATGCAGTATTTGTCCTTTTGCTACTGAGATATTTCACTCAGCATAATGTCCTCCAGGCTTACCCATTTTGAATAATATTGCATGAGTTCCTTGTTTTTCAATACAGCAGAGTATTCCATTGTGTGAATATACCACAGCTTCTCTATCCATTTGTTCGTTGATGGGCACCTGGGTTGTTTCCAACTCCTTGCTATTGTGAATAAAGCTGTGATAAACATGGGTGTGCATACATCTGCTTGGATGTCAGTTTTGGTCTCTTTGGGATATATTCCCAGTAGTGGAATTGCTGGCTCAAATGGTATCTCTAATTGCAACTTTTTGAGAAAGCGCCATATGGCCTTCCACAGTGGTTGCACCATTTTACATTACCACCAACAGTGAATAAGGGTTCCAGTTTCTCCACAACCTCGCCAGCTTTTGTTGCTGTTGTGTTAAATTTTGCTATTCTGTCTGGGGTGAGATGATATCTCATAGTTGTAGCAACATTTTTTTTACATTGACTAATAAGCATGTCCCCTCCTTTTTTAGTTTGCTTGTTAAAATATATCAACTGGTATTCCATCAATTCTTTGGGCTTCTTTTATTATCAATACCTTCAGTGCAGCTCAAACTTCTTCCTTACTACCATGGATTTCTGATAATGAAATGGTTCAGTATTCACCAGTTATTTATACAATCTTCCTTCCATGTTCCTGCATCCCCTCCATTGGTTTGCTCATTCAATGCTTCAGTATTATAATTGGAGGCTTCTTCAGTTTTTAGCTTGAGAAATGCTGTGTGATCTTTCTTTTGGTTTTCTAACTCTGACTTTTGACACATTTTATTAATAATATACTTCATCTTCTCAAACTGCTTTTTGAAATTTTCTCCTTATCTCTCTTCCTTCAGCATTTCTTTTGGTTTGACCACTCTGTTCTAGTGAAAGTTTCAGTCTCTTCTGATATCCATTTTAGTCTTTTCTTTCTTTCCTGTCTTTGCAATAACCTTTTGTTTTCCTCATGGATGATATCCTTGATGTCATCTCACAGCTCATCTGGTCTTTGGCCATTAATTCGTTCAATGCATCAGATCACATTGTTGTTGTTATGTGCCGTCGAGTTGCCTGCGACTCATAGAGACCTTATGTACAACAGTTCTAAACTTAGCTCTGTCCTGTGCCAATCTCATTGTCTCCGACACACTTATCCTGATTGCCCCAGTCACCGAATCTATCCAACTCCCAGAGGGCCTTCCCCTCCCACCTTCCCAAGCATGATGTCCTTCTCCAAGGACCAGTCCCTGTCAGACAAAGCCTCAGAATCCTTGCCTCCAAGGAGCAGCCTGGTTTCACCCTCTCCAGGATGAATCCGTTTGTTTCTTAGCAGTCCATGGTACCCTCAGCACTCTTCTCCAACACCAAAGCTCAAAAGCATCAATTCTTCTATCCTCCCTGGTC